GCATTGGGCTCCCTGCTCAGTGGGAAGCCTGCTTCTCCCTCTCCCACTCCCCCTGCTTGTGTTCCCTCTCCCGCTGTGTCTCTCTCTGTCAAATAAATAAATAAAATGTTTAAAAAAAAAAAAGAGTGGGGTCCTTCTGAGCCCTGACCTTTTGGGTCAGAACCCTAAAGGGTTGTTCCTCAGAAATACATGAGCCGTGATGAGATGCAGTTCAAGGGACTGCAGCACAATCTCAGATAATCCCAATGCCTAACATCTAGATTATCCCAGATCGCTAGTGACCTCAAGCACCTGAAAAAAGCTAATAGCTTTTTTTTTTTAAAGATTTTATTTATTTATATGAGAGAGAGAGAGAGAAGGAGTGGGGGGGGCAGAGGCAGAGGGAGAAGCAGACTCCCCACTGAGCAAGAAGCCTGACGATGTGGGACTCGATCCCAGGACCCTGTGATCATGACCTGAGCCGAAGGCAGACGCTCAACCAACTAAGCCACACAAACACCCAAAGCAAATATTTTTTTGAAGGAAGATATCATCCTAGGTCTGCACCAAGAAGCAAAATAACAACTCTGTGCCTGCCATTTGTAAGAGACACAGCACGCCTAGAACATAAAGAAACAGAAAGATTGACAGAAATAAGATGGAAAAAGATATGCCAGGCAATTCATTGTTAACCAAAAGAAGGCTGGGTAGCTATGTTAACGTCAGGAAAAGTAGACTTTCTCTCCACTAGAAATAAAGAAAAGGCTTCATAATAATAAAAGTTTCAATTCACTACTAAGATAAATAGTTCTAAATTTGTATGCTCTTACAATCACTTCAAAATATATAAAAGAAAGACAACTCTAATGATAAAGAGACAAATGTCCAACCACAGTAGGAATTTTAACATACCTCTCTTGGTAAGTGATAGAACAAATTGGGGGAGAGGGGGGATATCAGCAAGGATGCAGAACATTTGGACAACATAATTAGTAAACTTGACCAAAATCTGACATATACAAAAGAACACTACACCCAACTACTGCAGAACTTTTCAAGTACACACAGAACATTTATAAAAACTGACCATATCCTGGGCCATCAAAGGAGTGAAAGGATGCAGAGTATATTCTCTGACCAAAATAGAAAACAAAGAATAAAAATATTAACAGAAAATCCCCACTATTTGGAAATTAAGAAACACACTTCCAAATCACCTAAAGACTTGAGAAAGTAGGACTATGAAAATTAGAAACTATTTTGAACTGGGGCGCCTGGGTGGCTCAGTCGTTAAGCATCTGCCTTCCACTCAGGTCATGATCCCAGGGTCCTGGGATCAAGCCCCACATCAGGCTCCCTGCTTGGCGGGAAGCCTGCTTCTCCTTCTCCCACTCGCCCTGCTTGTGTTCCCTCTCTCACTGTGTCTCTCTCTGTCAAATAAATAAATTAAAAAAAAAAATAGAGCAGAATTGGAAAAGAGAACAAAAGAACTCTCGACAGGTCAGAAACTGAGAATTTCCGAACACTCCCAAGCAAACAGACCCTAAATGACAGGAAAGCCAGTGAATGCTAAGGACCCCAACCAGCAAATGATGGGCCCCTGAGAAGTCTTCGGCGGGGCTTCCAGGCCAAGCCCGGGGGGTGGCCCAGGCGCTGAGCGGCACGGCCAGCCAGGGGCAGCTCGTGGGGCCAGATCGCAGCCTCGGGCTCGGGGCCTCGCTTCTCACTGCCCAGCAGGCCGGGCAGCTGGCTGGCATCTGTTCCACAGAAAACACATTTGTCATCTCTGGAGGAGCTGGGTTCTAGGCCCAGTTTACATACTCCCCTCTCCTGAAGCCAGAACACTTCCGTGTGGTCAGCTACTGGGGGACAAGGCTTTGTACCCATGTGCACGCATACACACATACACACTACTCTCCCTGGAAGGAAAACAATTTTGTCTCTTTAGAATTCCAGAGATCCGGGGCGCCTGGGTGGCTCAGTCGTTGGGCGCCTGCTTTCAGCTCAGGTCATGATCCCGGGGTCCCGGGATCAAGTCCCTTATCGGGCTCCCTGCTCTGTAGGAAGTCTGCTTCTCCCAATCCCACTCCCCCTACTTGTGTTCCCTCTCTTGCTGTATCTCTTTCTGTCAAATAAAATCTTAAAAAAAAAAAAAAAAAGAAAAACAACAACAACAACAAAAAATAGAATTCCAGAGATCCTTTAAATGTTTGTGCTTGGGGTAAACCACCAACTAGGCACCACTTTCATCTGGTTCTACCAGGGCAAGGCCCACTCCTGAAGGCCAGGGGTTACCTGCCATGCTGGGGAAAGGCCAGCGAACTGGGGTAAACTTAGCAAAGACCTTCATGTTAAGGGAGTTCACAGTGGCTACCAAAGCTAACGAAATCCATAGCTTCCAAACCTGGCTGATCATCAAAATACTTCTGTGGCTTCTTACAATTACAGATTCTCACGCTACACCCTAGACTTATCAAGATCCTACGAATCTATGTTGTTGTTGGTTTTTTTAAGACTTATTTATTTATTTTGAGGGAGAGGGAGAAAGAGAGAGCAGTGGGAGAGAGGCAGAGGGAGAGGGATTCTTAAGCAGACTCCATGCTGAGCACAGAGCCCCACACAGGGCTTGATCTCACAACCCTGAGATCATGACCTGAGTCGAAACCAAGAGTCAGTTGCCTAACTGACTGCGCCACCCAGGGGCCCCAGGAATCTGTGTTTTTAATAGACTCGCCAGGTGCTTCTGCCAAGCGACCAGGTCTGGTAACCACTGATACAAATCTTCATTCATGAGCAGACAAGCAAAGACCAATCCTTGCATGAAGAAAAGCAGCAGCCTCAAAGAGGGGCAGCATTTTTCAAGGAAAGAGGATTGAAGCAGGAAAGAGGGCAGAACTTTCCAGTGTCGGATCTGTGTCCTCCGAGAGCCCTGAGAAGAGACTGTATAAGAGCAGGAGGCCCCCACCCCACCAGGTTCCTGCCTGCCCGCTGCACACTCAGGTCAGTCACTGGTTCAAAAAGTAACCCTCCCAGATAACCATCCGACCCAGCCCTGAGGCCACGCTGGGGCAAAGGATCCAGTCCCAGCTGGTCTGGACACTCCCCAACTTCCCAGATCTGGCAGGATGATTAATTCAATAGAAGAATATGGACTGATGCTAGGAAACAGTCACACTACACCAGTAAGGAAAAGAAATGGATCCTAAAACTGTACATACAATATGGTCTCCATCCTTTTCAAATTATAGCACACCTCTACACACACACACAAGTCTGGAAGGATATGAACAAAATACTGACTCACAACGGTCTTTTCTAGGAGTCAGAGTACAGGTGATTTTTCACTTTCTTCTTTTCACTAAGTTTTCAACAATGAAGTCATCTTACAGTGATAGTAAGGAGGAAAAAACAATGAGCTATATTTTTACTTTTTTTAAAAAAAGGTTTTATTTATTCATTTGAGAGAGTGAGCAAGTGAGTAATCAAGAGAGCACAAGTGGCAGAGGGAGAAGCAGACTCCCCGCTGAGCAGGGAGCCAGACGTGGGGCTCGATCCCAGGACTCCGGGATCATGACCTGAGCCGAAGGCAGACGCTTAACCGACTGAGCCACCCAGGCGCCCCTATATTTTTACTTTTAAATCAGGACACAGCTAAGGTAATAGAACCTCAAAGCTCCTTGACACTCTTTCCTGACCACCCCAGCCCCACCAATTCAGGTCACCCTGGAGACCTCCCTTGTCTGGTAGACTCCCACATCCCCGTGGGGTTAACAGGAACTGCTTGCAAGGGCTGGGGAGAGTAAATGAGATAAAGCACTTGACACAAGGCATGGCACATGGTAAGCGTTCAGCAAATGGCGGCCACCTCATTACTCCCATTGTTACGTCCACCAACTGGACCAGCGAATTCCAGGATGCCAGACCACAGGCCATTGCTAGGGCCCAAGCCACCTCTTTTCTATCACTCCCTCTGCTCTTAGAGAAAAGCCAGTCTGTGAGGAACCAAGTGTGCTGATAGAGGTAAGCCTGAGAAAAGGAGAGCCAGAAGCCCAGGGAGGGCCTAACTCCTGGGCTGTTCTGTCCATGAAATCTGGGCAAAGTCCTGCATGTTGCAGTAATTACCCCAACCTATATAAAGAAAATTGTATACAAATTAAAAAAAAAAAAAAAAGTGCTGGACAAGTCATCTCAAAAGGCTTGAGCTCAGGTACCAAGTCTGGCACTGGCTCACCGGGCAACCTTTCTCTCTCTGGATCTCAAGTCTCCACAGAGGAAATACTACCCGCGATCCACAGGGAGTTGCAGAGGAAACACAGAGCTGTGATGGGCCGTGCCCTGGGACAGGACTCTCATCTCTACTATGGCTACTTGAAAGGCTGGATTTGCCCAGACCCCTGGGGCAGAGGCTGCCCAGCTGTTATTTGGGGGAACCCAGGCGAACCAGCAAGGGGTTTGGGAGCAGGGGCCTACTGCCCATTTCCTTCTATCTCAAGCCCCCAGGACAGGCCTGTGACCCTCCTGAGAGCCCGGTCTCTGCTGGAGAAGAGAAGCCTCCCACGTCCTCTGTGGGTCCGCCAGCCGCTGGCGCAGTCACTCTGCAGCCTCCAAGGTGAGCTGACCCCGCACCTGTCCTGTCCCCGAGCCAAAGGAAAGAGGATGGGGAGGAAATCTCGAGATGTAGTAACAAGACCGCGCTTCAACCCTGAGCGGCTGGCTAATGGGAAACTCTAGTGGTGCCGACCGGGTCTCTGAAAGATTAACCGGGTTGTGATTATTCCAGCCAAGCGAGGCAGAAGCGGCTGCGCTTGGCACCACGGGCCGGCAGCAGGTGGTGCCCCGCGGCTTGCTCAGCCTGGGCCCGTGCGCCCTGGGCCCCTCCTCCTGGGCACCCCCAGGAGGAAGGGACCAGAGGAGGGACCCGCTGCTGCCAGCCCCACCTATCACGGAGGTGGGGGGCGGCCCCGTCCGGGCGCCGGAGTGGGGTGAAGCAGCCCTGGCAGCCAGCCGTCGCGGGCACTTACCAAAGGTGGTGAGGTAGAAGGACGAGTCCGGGTGGGCACGCCGGCTCCCGAGGGAGACGCGGTGCAGGGAGCGCTCCATGGCGGCCCCGCTGCGGCCGGGCCAGGCCCGCCTGCAACCCGAGGCGTCTGTGTTGCTCCCCTGTAACCGAGGCAGCAGGCTCAGCCGCCCCCGCCCCGCGCCAGTGTCCCGGAGGCGGGAGCGGGAGGCCGGCTGCGGCGCGCGTTCGAATGAGCCGGCGCGCCGGGCCCTGATTGGCCCGCGCCAGTTTGAATGGGGAGGTTTCCACCTGACCGATCGGACGCCGGCCCCGGGGAGGAGGCGCCCGCGCCCCAGCCGCGACCGCAGGGGCCGCGGCTGCAGCCGGGGGAGGGGGCGGGTCCCTCCTCCGCGCTCCCGTCGGTAGTCCTCCCCGAGGAGCCAGAAGGACCGGGCCGCCACACCAGGGCTCCTGGCTCCAGGCTGGAAGTGCCAGCCCCAGGTGAGGCCCGCGGCCCCTGGCGTGTCCACGCAAGCGGGCTTGGCCTGCTCGCCCAGCTCCCCCAGGCCAGCAATTAGCCAGGTTTGTAACATGCTTTGAAGCTCAGACCTGTAATCACCAGACCCAAGCAAGCGCAAAGGAGCATCCTCCCGGCCCAGTGCAGTGGGGTTTGGAAAAGTGTTCTTCATGCTTGGACTGGCTGCCCCCACCAGGCTGCAGCCCCTTCCCAACTCTGCCCTCGCCATCTGCCCCTTGGATGGGAGCAGCCCGGCACAGGTCCGGGCCAAAGCAGCTTGCTCCAGCCAACCTCACAGCGCCCCATCTGCAGCCGTGAAACAGGAACGCAGGCGCTCAGCATCCAAGGGGACAGAAACACACAGGATGTGGGGAGGGTAGGCGCTTTCAGTCTCCAGAGCCAGGTGTCAGGAGGCAGAGCTGGAAGGGAAGGTCAGTCCCTGCACTGCTTTGTCAGCAAACATTCGTGGGACACCTCCTGGGAACAGTTTCACACCAAGACATCTGCTCTGCAAATCTCCGACTGTTGCTGCTGTGGGAGGGAAAGCTGCTGGTCTTACGTAAATCTAAAAATGGGAGGTGTTGGAAGTTGCCAGATGGATATCTGGCCCAGGGATCCACTCAAGAGGAGGTTGGAGGATGCAAGAGAGAAAGTGGGGAGAAAAGTTGTATGTATTGAGTACCAGGTGCCAGGGGCTGAGCTGGGCAATTTACATGTATCATCTCATTTAATCTTCACGGTGATCCTAGGAAGTATCAGCCTCAATTTACCAGGGATAAATCTGAACTTCAGGCAGAGAGGGTAGATGACTTGTCCAAGGTCGGCAGAGCTGAAATTTGAACCCGGGCCTGCCTGCCCCAAAGGCCATCCTCCGTCCGTTCTTCTCTGGCCTCCATCCTGCCCCATGGCCAACAGCAAGTGCAGGCTGCAGACGTGCCTTCTCGAAGCAGTAAGGAAACTTGAAGCCACAGGGCCAGCTGGCTGCCAGCAGGGAGCAGAAGCTAGAGAAGGAGCCCCGAAATCAGCAAACTAGTGGTCAAGTGCAAATGAGTCACATAAAGGCCAGTGGATTGTTTGAAACCGGGCCCTCTGTGAAGCCCTGCTCTGCCCTTTCCCATACCAGCCCCCATACCGTGAGCACTGCCCATAGCAGCCTCGCCCCAACCAATGACAGGTGGACATACCTGCACCCTGGACTTGAGCTTGCCTGATTCTCCTCCTGGCTGGGGGAGTCTGCGTCCAGGCATCCTTTCTGGGCAGGGAGGTATGCTGGCCCTGCCACTCCATCCAGCCAGGGATAATGGGCAACCTCAGGCTCAAGCCACAGGATGCAGAAAGGACACTGAGGCTGGAGGTGTTCTAGACCTGCAGGAACAAGATGGGAACATGAGTTAGGCATGACCTGAGGATGCCCCCTGAGAGGGGTGTTTATTCCCAGTAAGAGTTAGAAAGCATGGCATTCTGGAGCCAAGGCAAAGGAAGGTCTACGGGGAAAGGGACAGTGATGTGCCCAAGATGGTGGTGGCCCCTTCACAGCTCTGCCAGGGACCATTGGGGAGCCTGTGCTGGGGAAGACAATCTGGGCTCTGGACGCTGTGAGCAAAGTGCAGAAGCACCCTCAGGAGGCTGGGACCCAGAAGAGCAGGACAGAGCTGCATTATCTGAATGTCGCCTGGGTAGAAAGACTGAAGCCCACACCAGCTCCTCTCCCCCACTCAGGATAAAGGCCCACTCAGCAGCTAACCTATTCAGTTGGGAGAACTCAATGCCATTCTGATCCCGCTAGTAGCACCATCTCCACCACCTTCACCATCAACAGTAAGGCCTCTTTACTTAGTAGAACACGGGACACTTCCTTCTCTTAAAGAGGGAGGTCACTCTTTTCTCAGGAGAGGGAGGACAGAAGTGAGTGGGAGCCTGGGCAGTGGTGATGCAGGAGAAACTGGGCCTGTTCACCCACACTGTCCAAAGGGGACATCCAGGAAGGGTCTCGGTTATGGCCCTGCTTTCCCCAAGAAGGCAGGCGAGTTTGCTGACCAAGCCTGTCTTTGTGGCAGGCCCTGAGCACTCTCGCGCGCCTGGGCTGTGGGCCTCAATGTCTCCCTCACACCTCACTCACACTACACATGTCCGGTGTGTACTACAGACACAACACAAACGCACGTTGCACACACTCCACACACGTACACATACAGACCATAACACTTCCCAGGTACACACGTGCACAAATACATCATAGACGGGGCACCTGGGTGGCTCAGTCGGTTAAGCACCTGCCTTCCGCTCTGGTGGTGATCCCAGGGTCCTGGGATAGAGCTCCGTGGCAGGCTCCCTGCTCAGCAGGAAGTCTGCTTCTCCCTCTCCCTCTGCCCCTCCCCCTCCTCCTGCTCCTTTTCTCTCTCTCTCTCAAATAAATAAATAAATAAAACCTTTAAAAAAATAAGGGTAGAAATTAATGAAATACAAAACATTCGTAGAGGAGCTCTATTAAAAATGTGACAAAATTGCGCCCACCTTCTCCCAGTTTTGCCACATTCCTTTTTTTAAAGAAAAGCCAGAAATCTTGAATTTTTCATTTTCATACCTCCCAATTTTTTAATATGGGCAATTCATTCAAAAAATCATAATAAAATATTTTGTAGGCCAAGTAAAATATATCTCTGCCCTGTAACTAGTTTGAAATCTCTGCTAGACCAATCTGATTTATGAATATAGACACAAAATTCCTAACTAAAATGTTAGCAAATCAAAGCTGGCAGAATGGGGTGCTTGGGTGGCTCAGTTGGTTAAGCCTCTGCCTTTGGCTCAGGTCATGATCCCAGGGTCCCAGGGGGCTCCCTGCTCAGTGGGGTGCCTGCTTCTTCCTCTCCTTCTGCTGCTCCCCCTATTTGTGCTCTCCTGCTCTGTCAAATAAATAAATAAAATCTTTTAAAAAAAAACAAAAAACTTGCAGTATATTCATGATCAAGTGGTATTTATTCCAGGAATACAAAGATCATTCAAATTTAATGAGCATATTAGTATAGAGGTTGGCAAACTATGCCTACAGGCCAAATCTGGCCCCCTACCTATTTTTGTACAAATGGACTAAGAATGGATTTTACATTTTAAAATGGTTGAAAAAAAATTAAAAGGTTTTCTATGGCCATAAAAATTTTTTAAATTTTAAATTAAAAATTAATTCAAAATATTTATAAAACACATGGCAAATATGTATATATGAATCAAGTATCTCACAAATCAGTAAAATATAAATGTACCAAAAAACATGAATAATCATCACACAAGAGGGGCAGTGTAATTGACTAATAATGCATAAAATACTGGTAAACCAGAGAAATAAAAAAGAAAAAAATTCATCTGCCTCCAGGAAGTTCAAGCATTTCTGTTAATGAGGCAACTAAGGGTCAGAGTTGTTAAACTGAATCAGGTTGCCAAAGCAGTAAGTAAACAGTGGAGAAATCATAATTCAGCCAAAGAATCACTGTACAATGTCGTCTTTCCTACCAGTCCTCCTACTCAGAATGACTAGGTTATAAACAAGGGGACTAAGACCTCTGTGGCTACTGACGCATTAAAGTTCAGTTCAAGGGTGGCACCTGGGTGGCTCAGTTGGTTAAGCGTCTGCCTTCAGCTCAGGCCATGATCCCGGGGTCCTGGGATCAAGTCCCAACATCGGGCTCCTTGCTCAGTGGGGAGCCTGCTTCTCCCCCTCCCTCTGCCTGCCACTCCCCTTGCTTGTGCTCTCTCTCTCTCTAATGAATAAATACAAATCTTAAAAAATAAAATAATATTCAATTCAAGGAGCCCCTGGGTGGCTCAGTCGGTTAAGCGTCTGACTTTGGCTCAGGTCATGATCTCAGGGTCCTGGCTTCGGGCTCCCTGCTCGGCAGGGAGTCTGCTTGCCCCTCTCCTTCTGCCCCTTCCCCTGCTGTGCTCTCTCAAATAAATAAATAAAATCTTTAAAATATAGGGGTGCTTGGGTGGCTCAGTCGTTAAGCCTCTGCCTTCCGCTCAGGTCATGATCCCAGGGTCCTGGGATCGAGCCCCACATCGGGCTCCCTGCTCAGCCAGAAGTCTGCTTCTCCCTCTCCTACTCCCCCTGCTTGTGTTCTGTCTCTCGCTGTGTCTCTCTCTGTCAAAAAATAAAATCTTTAGGGGCGCCTGGGTGGCTCAGTTGGTTAAGCGACTGCCTTCGGCTCAGGTCATGATCCTGGAGTCCCAGGATCGAGTCCCGCATCGGGCTCCCTGCTCGGCAGGGAGTCTGCTTCTCCCTCTCCCACTCCCCGTTTGTGTTCCCTCTCTTGCTGTGTCTTTCTCTGTCAAATAAATAAATAAAATCTTTAAAAAAATAAAATAAAATAAAATCTTTAAAAAAAATAATAATAATAATAAAATCCAACCCATGTTTATGAAGCTAAACACTATTTTGTGCTGAGCCTTACACTTGTCGCCGGGGTTCTAGAAGTGAACAAGGTGGAGCGTATGATCTAGTGAGAGATTGGATGGGTATTACAATAGAGGAACCATCCCACTGACCTGTGGCAATACAGATTAACGTCTCTTTCAGTCAGGGGAGCTGGGGCGGGCTGAGATGGTAAAGGAAGTCAGAGAGGACTTTGCAAAGAAAGCAACCTGAAGAATGATTTAGCTAAGCAAAGGAAGTGAAGGAAGGGTTACAGTCAGAAAGAAAAAGGGTTACAG